AGAGAGCCCACTCTAGTGCTTGAGGCAGCTGATGGCTGTTTAGGATCCTATCTGTTTGCTCCTCCTGCTAGGAGGAAGGATCAGCACAAGGCTGGGAGCAGGAAGCTGGTGAGAGCCAGAGCTCTGGTTAGCAGCTCTTGTAGTTCGTTAAATGAACCAGGACACGTTTCAGGAGAGGCCTGGGAGGCTTTTTGCGAAAGATGAAACCACTGGCGGTTGAGCAGAGGCTTGTTTCCTGCCGGCTGTGTGTCTCCCTTTGATTTCCTTTCTCACTGTGCTGCTGGCTCTGTGGGCCTTTATTCCCTTTGCGGTGCTGATGGAGACTTGGGTTAGGGTTTTTTAATTGATTGAGAAGGAATACAAAGCTTTATTAGGAAAAAGTAGAAAAAGGGTCCAGTGGAAAGAAATAACTGAAACAGGGATCAAATATGTAGAACTAATTATAGAACCAGGATTTGTGCTGAGAGGAAAGAAGCTGTGACAGGCCAGGCACAATGGGAGATGCTGCTTTGCTGGTCTTGTTAAGGGGTGTCTGTTCTTTGAAGTTTGGGAAGAACATCTGGTTGAAGTAGTTGGAAATCCTCCATGTCACAGGCAAGAGGAACCCTTAATAGGTCAGTCTGGAAGGGGGAAAGGTTCATCTATTGGTGACCCAAGATTCACAAACAACTGTCAGCCTAGATTATGCACCTCTGATTTATGTCAGTCCAGGTCAGCAAAAGCATCTGTTCAACTTAGGGCAGCTCTACCAAGTATTCTGCAAGGCTTCAGGCACCACCTGAAATATTAATATGCTCCTTGCCCAGAAACAGTGACCTATATAGTCACAGAGAACACTGTTATCCATGGAAGTGTTTGTCAGATGCAACTTCACTGTCTTTAGCTGAAATTCAGCTGTATGAGCCCTGAGCTAAGACTCAATGAATAATTACATCTTGGGGTTGGGGGAAAGGCGTTAAGGCAATACCAATTTATAAGGGAAGCTGGACTGGGTTTGTTTTTTTGTTTTGTTTTGTTTTTTTTTCCAGTAGAGAAGACTGCATTCATGTGTGTCTGTACCCGTATTTTGCTTTCTTAGCTTTAACTCTGTGTAGTTCAGAAATGTTAAATCTGGCAGAAGGGGAGGGGTGGCCTTGAGAAGCCAAGATGAAGAAGGGCTGGAGCCGAGGTGACTGTGTAAAACAAAACATGATGGGTAACACCAGGCTTCTGCACTTGGTGGTAGATCTGGTAGTATAATCGAGAGGATGAGAGGGAGGAAGGTAAAATGAAAAACAATGTTCAGAAAGTAGATACCTATCTCTGTGGTGAGAACAGTGTGATCAGTTTTCAACTCTTGGGTATCTTTTTCTAGGCAATGGAGAGTTATTAAATGTGGGAAACTTTTCTGCCTCATTTCCTACAAGTGTCTGATAATCTTCCTTATCTAAGGAAGAAAGCATGAGCAACCATAGATCCCAGAACATCTGCATTGTTTTCAAGGCTGTCTGGGTTTCAATTTAAGTTAATTGACTCATAACAGCAAGAAGCTCTTACAGTCTTGAAAATCTAATATTTTTCTTGGACTTTTTGGAGGCTCAGGTATGAGCATGCTTTGATTCTGCATTATATTTGGTCTATTATATTTTTGTGCTGATGCATTGTATGAAGGTGGTGTAATAAATGGCAAAAATCTTTCAATTGCTGATAGCTATTTCTGCACAGTATGTTACCTTTACCCAAGTCTAGTTGAAATAGCCTGAAAGTTGCTTAGGTGTAGACAAATGCTTATCATGGTTTAATTGGTGATTATCATGATATTTTAAGCACGAATTAATTGAGTGGTTGGTTGATAGGGTCAGTTGACAGTAGAAACATGAGGCTAGGGAATTTACAAGAGGAAAAAGGTTTTCTTGCAAGTCCTGGTGGCAATGTTCAGGAACAGACTTTGATCTTGGAGTGCTGAGAATAGGAGGAAAGAGGTGTATTCAAAAACAACTGGGCTAGCGGCAGCAGGTTTAGTCACTGAGCACTTGCAGGCTTCTGGCAGTTACTTGGCTTAAATTCAGTCTGATTAAAACTACTAAAAAAACCCCCCAAAAAACAAACCAAACCACCAAAAACAACAAACACAAAACAACTCTTTTTGTCACCTTTAGTCTGGTAGTGTGAATTTATGCAGGTTCTGTCCTCTGTATCAGATGACAATGACATTGTCGCTCTTCAGCACTCCAGAAGTGAAGTTACCATGTTAAGTGGCCACAGTTTTGTAGTCAGTGTGTAAACTGGTTTCTTGTTAAGTATATTTTTCCATTAATATAACTACAAGTTGAATAAGTTGCATTATATTGAATTCTGGGAACATGAGGTACTTCTCCATTTTGTAGTGAAGAAAATTTCTGAGACTGCATGCGTATTGTAAGATATTCTCACAAAGATTTAAATTTACGTCTGTTTTCTGGAGTGGTTTGAATGTTTCTGTGCAGCAGGAAAAACTTACTCTGGTTACAGAAAGCAGAAATACCAAATGGACCTCTGTCAGAAAACAAATTTCCTGATTACTAACGGGGTTTTGTGTTGTGAACAGAACCTAAACCGCTACCAGTAGCAAGATGTGTTCTTTGCAAAAATAATTTCAAAGATCTTTCCAGTGTTGTCCATTTAGACGTGATGTCCCTGTGTTCATAATGATTTACAAGAGACTTTTTTTCCTTTGCAGAAACGGAAGGCTTTAAAATTGATACCATGGGCACCTATCACGGAATGACTCTGAAGTCTGTAACGGTAAGCTGAAAGTCTTTTTTTTAATTATGTTTTATAGAAATTATAATATACCTATGTATATCTTGTCGACTGACTAACAGAATTAATGAAAGTTGTTCTCTGTGAAAAGATAAAACATGTTTTGATTTGTCTGCACATTTTAGAGCTCTTTGCTCAAGGGATTTCTCTGCAGGGAAAAGGTATGCTGGGAAGGCTTTGCTGGCAGGTTCTTGTGGAGGTGCGGTCTTTTTGTACTTAACTATACTAGGATACTCAGATTTTTGCTAGCCTTATGTATGTCTGTGTAGCATGTCTTTCATAATCATAAATGATAAAATTGTACTCACAAACGGAATTATTAAAACTAGGTTTTGGAGTATTGCTCTGTTTCCTACTTGGTGTTTAATAAGAATAAATGTGTTTAGTGTTGGAAGAATTTGACCCCTGCGTTACCACTCAAGCTTTCTAACCTAGTGAGATGGACTTCTTTTGTATGACTTTACAATGCTGTCAGTGGGAATTGCTACACATACAGATGAGAAAGAGAGACTCTCAAACAGATTTCCTTTTTTATTGCCAATATTTGTCTACTTTTGTGGAAGCAAGTTGAATGCTCTCAAACAAATGCTGTTTTGATCTGCTGCTAAGTAGGACAGATGCTACAAAAGTAATGTAGAGCTCTCATTAAGGTTTTTACCATCTGCATACCTATATAAATCTGATGAATAGACAGCACTAAACACTCTCCTAAATCCATGCACTACTTCTAGTTTGGAGTCCTAATTTGAACATAAAATAGTATATTGAATGTGAATTTCTTAAGAACATTTAGAGCTTTTTCTTGTTTGATAAAAGTTCTTGCACAAGTCTTTCATTCCCAACCTCCTCTGGACATAAAATATTTTTAAAAATTGGAAGGAAGTATTTTAAGGAAGGAATGTTAGTACTAAAAAGTGTTGTTTCTAAATGAATTCAGAAATTGGGTGAGGGAGGAAAAACTCCATTATGTCCGAAGATTTGAACCTTGCACGAATTTAGAGCTGCTTTATGAGGGGTCAGGCAGTGGTGTTGTGCCAAACCCAGGTTTCTATGATTTAGTGTATCTGTTTCAAGCAGTAGTGACTTGGAATGACTTTGTAAATGTCTTAGTAAATAGGTTCTGTTTAAATTGTCCTGTGGGGAGGAAAAAGAAAGGGGGTCCAGGAAGCAAGATTATAGTGAATTAGAAATGTTAAAATATTCTAAGCTTGTCAGTATGAAAACTATAAAAGTGAAGGGTTGCACAGTAAGTCTAAAAATGATTACTTTTTAAAAAAATTCATTAAAAAATAAATAAGGTTTTTTATTCTAGGAATACCTAGCTCATGTATTCAGCATATTACCTAGAGTTTTGTGGTAGAGTTATTAAACTGTCCTTGCTTTCTTCTATTAAGAAAGAAAATATAACTGATGAAATTACTATTAAACCTTTTTGCAACATAAACTAGATTTTTTTGAAATAACTATTTAAGAGGTATTGCATGACTGCACATAAAGCATCATCTGGTGTCATGAGAAATATTAAAACTCCATCTGTCATTTAGCTTTTTTTCTAAGAAAGAACTTGTAAGGGATTTTTGAAGCCTTATTTTCCAGACTGTTAAAAAGGTGGCCTAAACGTTTAACTCATTCATAAATTACGGTGACATACTGACTTTGTGTTTCAGATGGGGGAGAAAAAAAATCTGTTAATTATGTGGCACAGAAATGTTTATCTGTTTTTGTCTAAACTTTGTCACAGTGATGGACCACATAGTTCTTACCCATAATCTTCAGAGTATTGTTTTGTATAGAGTGTTGCATCTCCTACTAGTTAGCAAATTTCACATTATGCTTTTGCTCAGGTTTTTTTTTGTGGCTTGTTCCTATTTTTTCTGCTAGAAAAAACTAGGGAGGAAATGGAAAAGTAATTTCTTCCCCTAGAGGTTTAATGTAAAAGTACGTTATATTAGTTGGCTAAATCATAGGCATATGGAGAATAGCATTGGAATTGTATTCCACCTACATCATGTCATCTGCTATCCTCATGGTATTGGTATATTTCCTTTTGTAAACTCGTGAAACTTTTCAAGGGAATTGAAGTGTTAGATAGCTCTTTGTTAGAGGCTATCTTCAAACTTCAGACCTCTGATTTCCAGATGAATGGTGAAATTTGAAAGGTTCATTTTTAGACTGTTTTTCTCTTTGACAGGGGGAGTAGCAAGTAGCTCCTCTGTTTCTTCTATGGTGTTTCTTTCCAGTAATGGATTTCCAGTTAATGGATTTATAGAGAGCAAGTCATATTCTCTGAAAACTTTATTCTTGTGAAGCAAGCTTTCAATTCACTTGTGAATTTTATTTCTCCAGCTATTCTAGTTAGAATTAATCTTTTTTCAAGCATGGAGAAGTAAAATTTCATGTAGTCTTCTAAGTGAGATCTCACCAGTGGCTTGTAGAAGGGCATTAAGAATTTCTTACTGCTTCTGAAATTATAAATATTGCCTTGAGGTGGATGGATTATGTATTTTACTTTATCTTCATTCTCTATCACTTTTTTGTACCTTCTTATTTTTGCTTTAGTTTCCACTTTGGTTATGAATTGCATGTTGGAAGAGATTGTTTATCTTAGTGTGGTGGTTCATTTGAGCGTTTAACGTTATTGGCAATGCCATCTACCCTGACCTGTGTTCCTCTGTTGCACTGATTCCTTTGGCTTCCTTTTCACACATTGTCCTTCATTCTTTGTCTGAATGGAACAATTTGTTTTGATGGTTAGTCTTCTCTTTAAAAGGTTGATGGAGCCCTTAGCTTTTGTATGTTTAGATCTTGTTAGCAATTGGAAAAATCTTTGTAGACGTATACTTATGAACTGGAGTGTAAACCATGACCTGCTGTCTGGAGTTGCCCACCAGCTTCTCAGGTAAAATCTGTAAGAAGCTTTTAGTTGTTTCCTATTATATTCCCTACATGTCTTCCACTTGCACTCTGCTTTATTGTAATTCACTGTAATGATTTTTATGAAATATGCAAAACTTCTGTTTTGTGTTTGTTCTTGCTGAAATGTGCGTTGTTCTAGATGCTTGTTCTTTTTAACAGCAAAACAAAAACTTCTGCATCTTGACTGCTTGCTTTTCATCAGTGATGTTGGAAACTTTCTTAGCATTGAAAATTTGTGCCAGAACAGATGGTGAATGGTGGGCTTTCTGAAGTAATGTCAGCTAAAATAACTTGTGCTGCTGGCAGTTCTTCCCTGAAACAGGGCTTTTGCTTAATTGGCACGCTTACTTTCTCTTAGGAAGAACTTATTTAATTTAATTATTTAAAATTTTTATTGTGAAGGCATGATTTCATTATTCTGGACCTGGAATTGTTTATAACAAGACGTCGTCCTCAGAAAGCCTTATTTTAATACGTGTGGCACCTTCTATTTGCCTAGATTGATGATGTTTTGGAAACAAATAAGGTAGTGGTGCTAGCTCTTGCTACCTAGTTACCCAGCAGTTCATATTGCAAATTGTGCCCCATCACATTCAGAAACCTCTAGATCTGCCTGCAGGTTTGTCTTCAAAGCATAATCCCCTGTATAGCTGGGCAACTTTTGTTTAAGGAGTCAAGTTTACTGTTTGAAATGGATCACATGAGAGCTATGGACGATAAGCATTAGTATTTTTGTACCAGGCAGGGTGTAAGGGAATGCTGAGAGAGAATTTTAAGCTGATATTCTCAACATGTTCTTTCTTGTGTAAATTTGACGTGTTCAGGGCATTAGCCTTCTGCTTTTCTGAAGAGAAATGTTAACTTGGGAGACTAAGCCAGTGTCATCTAGTGGAAGCCTAGAAAGTAGGTTTGACCTTTCTTTTATATATAAATGAAATTTAATTTAGGACTAGTGTTTTCTGTAACTGGAATATGTGAGTTGTTTTAACTGTTACTACAGCTTGAGATGTCCAGATCAGAACAAACTAGCCATCTGCACTGACGTCAGGGTATGGGAGAAGCTGCTTGTTCTGCGAGTGTCTGGTAAAGCTGGCTTTTATAGATCGGTACTAAAGTGTATCCTCTTCCAAGCTGAGGGCATGATTTGTATTGACTATGTGCACATGCAAATAACATCTGTTTCTCCATTACAATAATAGTTATGGTGATGTTGGTTGAACACCTCTTTGTGTTTTTTCTTTCTTAAGTTTTCATTACTTTAATATGAAATAAAGGAAGAGACTGATAGTGTGTGGAGTTCTGAGAGTCCTGACTTGTCATGAGCTGTGACTTGGTGTGGTTATAAATTCGGGTGCAAGCAAGATAGATATGCATAGTACTGCAGTAGGCCCTTGTAGAAATTACTCTGTTGCCTTTTGTAATTGCTAGAAAGCTCTCCTGCTTCTAACTTCTCGTTTCTTTTAGTATTCCCAGCTGCTGAAGCTCAGAAGCTTCCTTTGCCTATTGGTTTTGCTACTAGTAATGGCATCTGTTGCTGATCATTGGCACTCATAAGCAGCCAGAACTATCGTTGGTGTTTTTCTCTTCCTGTTCAGTAAATAGGTGGGTAGAACAGCTCTTCTTAGAGTGTTGAGATGACCTACTTATCAGATAGTTTGGGCCTATGCTTGAAGAGTCAGTGTATAGTTAGTAAGGGTTTCAGCTGGGGCATGTTGTTTGTAACAAACTCCAGTGCAGATTTCTGCAGTGTATTCAAACATGTAAGTTTTATCTCTAGTAAGAAATTCTATGTAAGTTTCCAGCACTTCTGAGTCCAGTGATAATATTTTTCCTACAAATTAACAAAACTGACATCCATCTTTCTGGTGTAAACTGCCAGACATTGCAACAATTTCTCAGTTGTAAAATTACCCTTAGTAAACATATGAGACTATTGGTGATTAAAGAATATACATTACATTCCAATCGAAACAAATGCATTACATAGTCCTGACAGAAAACAACTAATAAAAAAAAGAGGATCCCTACATAAGCCACACTACAAACAGGCTTAATTTAAGAAGAATTGGAAGTATGGTTCAGCACCTCCAAGTTCAGCAGCATTTTTAATCAGTTTGTGGTCAGTCTCAGATTTTAAGCATTAACTAATCAAAGGATGTTGCTTTTATTGCCCTCCTGAATCTTTTGAGTGTGGTGTTTTTATTATTTTAACTGATAGGTTGTTTGGTGTATTTTTCAAAGGATGGCTGTGTAGTAGAATGAAGGGAAATGCTAACTTTCTGGCACCTTAAAGACAAGGCCATTGGAGGGGAAGCTTGTTGAGGCAGAAGCAATCATTATGGTGTATGCACATATTATATAAAAGACTTCAGATCATTTATATGCTCTGTGTAAGTAGGTAAATCCATGAGATCTTTTTTTAATTTATCATGAGGAATTAAGATTGTGATTCAGTGCCAAAACTTGAAATGACTTTTCAGAAGCATATGGTGGAATTAGACGTTGTCTCTCAATATATAGATAAATAGCACTTACCTTTAAAAAAGAAAAATTAATACATCTTAAATATTAGATAGGAGAGATATAACTACTTATCGACATGTCACTGGTTTTCTGTATCTCGGTAAAATGTTTGAGAGCAGTGGTATTGAGGAAGGAGTCAACAAAACAACAAACTCTTTGGAAGCTTTTGAAACGGGCTGGGAGGCAGAGCATAATTTTCACGCGGTCTTTGCATAAGCTGGTCATTATTCTCAACACAAGTGTAACACCAGCCTGCCCGTGCCCCCGCTCCCCTCCGCCCCGAGCAGCATTCTGTGAACTTGCTGTGTGCATGCTGTTCAGTTTTTAACCCTCAAGAGGATGTTTGTAACAATTGCCTATTAGAAGAGCATTCCATAGGCAATGCTGGAGGTAGAGACTTCTGTTTTCATTGGATTCATTATTGTTTTTCATGTGAAGTATATTTATCTGTAACTGTAATTCAGACATAATCATGAAGTTCTTGGTCCACGAGGGTTAAGGGCTAGCACGTGACCACTAACTCAAAAAATCCTGAAGCTGGAGAAATGGATGTTCCCCAGACCTTACACTACTCAGGGATAATGGACTAGAAGACCTTGTGTGTCTATATTACTCTAATGAGAGTGGATGAAATGCAACCAGGTTTCCTAAGAACTATTACTGTATTTTATATTTAAAGTCCACGCACTAATTTCAGTGGTTGGCATTTCATTGCCTCAGTTGTGTTTGAAACCTTAAATAAATTACTCTCCCTTGAAGAGTTTTAATGTAAATAGTCAAACTGATAGAGAACAGGGAAAAGCACATACAAATGCTGCTTTCGAGAAAATGTGTTAGGCTGAACAATGCTGCACTTGTTTTCTCAGCAACTATAAATCATGTACATCTGTGCCAAGATATCTTGCTGTTGTACTGCATCATACAAAAGAACTGCCTGTTTTGTTCCTCATAATAGGTTTTATTTTATTTTGAGACTAAAAGAACTGCGAATTCAAGAAAAGAAGTGGATGTTGTATAACCAGTTGCACATCTGGAGGTTGGGCACTGCTATGTTGCCCAGTATGCTACTGAACAAAAGAGGGAGCAAGGCCTGGAGCCATCTAGCTTTGTTACTGAACGTGTCTGGAGTCACTGTTGTGTGTAAAACTTGGTTGTGTCAGCGTGCTAAGTGTGCTTGTGGCATGCCTGTCAGGTCCTTAAGTGGTTTAAATGGATGAGTGCCAGTTACGAGAATACAAAGTATTTCTGAGGATACATTGAAGTGGAGCTTTAGACATCCAGGCAGCTTTACTTACAAAAGCTTGAGAGCCTTAAAAATTATTGTTATGAATTTTAAGATTACTTGCTAGACCTGTCTGACCTAAAGCTGAATGATACAAGTTTATTTGCTAACCCTGTCAGTGTCCCTTGAGAAACTCATCTGTCATATACACTGCACTAGGACTCAAATGCTTTATGAATGGTTTAGGAGTCACTCTCATTTGGAAACATGACTCCAAATAAAAATGTCTAGGAAACCTCATTTGAGTTCTTTCAATTGGATGTCAACTTCCTGCTTGAATCCTCTCTAGGTGTTTAGATTAATTTGTGTTTCTCGGGTCTTAAGATTAATGTGTAATATCTATTAATGAAAGTTTCATAGGGCATTGCTCAATGATACCAGCTGAACTTAAGCTCCAGATTTTTATACTTTGTCATAACTTTTCTGAATGATTAAACATCATGTGCTCCAGCCCTCCGAGGGCTGGAGCACCTCTCCTA